CTCAGTAGACTCAGTAGTTTTAAGAATCGCGTTAGTATTAAGATTGCGTTAGTCGTAAGAGATGATTTTGTTTTGCGTTATTTTTTTTTAGAGTTACAATGCGTTACGCGCGACATATCGAACTTTTTTTTTTTCTTCTGTTTTCTTATCAATGAACCGTTGATGCGGTAAATCTTTTTTTTTGCGTTACATAATTTATATCTTTTTTATCGTTTCTTATGCGCGTGCTTTTTTTTTTGCGAAGCATCGTGGGATGAGAGAGAGGGAGCTTCCTCATCTCCTCGCGACGATGCGGAAGAAGACAGCGCATAGGAGTGGGGTCCCTTTGCATTGACTATTTTTTTTGGTAAAATACCCCCGCGGTGGTTTTAGTTGGTATGCCTCGGAGGTTGCCCTCCGAGGAGAGTCCAACATCACCCTCCCTGCTCCCAGGGGAGGGTATGCGTAATGCATTTCCCCGCGTTAACAAAAAAAAAAAAGTATTCATTCCAAGTCCCTTTTAATCGAAATTATTCAAGATTGTTTTCATAGAAATTATTCAAAGTTGTTAGTGAAATTATTCTAAGGCGGTATCATCAGTGGACAGCGAGAGTTCTGTACGTAAGTATTAATTTTTCTTCTTTTTTTTTTTAGTATCATCAGTTCTTTTTCCTCGAAATTATTCTATGTCCTTTTCCAGTGAAAGTATTCTAAGTCAATTTTTTGAAAAATTATTCCAAGTCCCTTTTTTGGCGAAAATATTCCAAGTCCCTTTTTTGGCAAAATTATTCCAAGTTCCTTTTTGGGCGAAAATATTCCAAGTCCCTTTTTTGGCAAAATTATTCCAAGTCCTTTTTTCGTCGAAAATATTTTAAGTCCTTTTCGATTTTGAAGGGTAAAATTTCTTTTATCGCGGAAATGGGATCTACAGGTCATGAAACGGTTTTTGGTGAAAAAAACAATTTTTTATTTTTCGAAAATTTTCTAAGTCCCTTTTTCGGCGAAATTATTTTAAGTCCTTTTTGAGAGAAATTATTCCAAGTCCTTTTCCAGTGAAATTATTCTATGTCCTTTTCCAGTGAAAGTATTCTAAGTTCCTTTTGGGCAAAATTATCCCAAGTCCTTTTTCTTCGAAATTATTCCAAGTCCCTTTTTTGGCAAAATTCATCCAAGTCCCTTTTTTGGAGAAAATATTCCAAGTCCCTTTTTTGGAGAAAATATTCCAAGTCCCTTTTTTGTAAAAATTATTCCAAGTCCCTTTTTTGGAGAAAATATTCCAAGTCCCTTTTTTGGCAAAATTATTCCAAGTCCCTTTTTTGGAGAAAATATTCCAATCCCTTTTTTGGCGAAAATATTCCAAGTCCCTTTTTTGGCGAAAATATTTATTGTGATCTATAATTTTTCTGTATCTCCTTTTTAAGGAATCCATTTTACTTGTACATTTATTTGGGGGAATGTCGTAGCCTATTTTTTTAGTGTGTTCGGAAACCTGCTTCCACATTTTACGTAGCAACATTTTTCCACTTTTCATTTTTTCTTGTTGTTCACGATATGTACTTATTAAAAGCAAAATTTTTTCGTGTGTCCACATGGCATCGTGAACCTCTTCTGTAAATATATTTGTTTAATTAATTAGAAATAAACTTTTATGCAATATTTATTTAAATTAAATTCATAAAATCGTAAAATCATTACCTGTATTGTTCGCGAAATTTTCAGCTTCAGGTTCTTCAAATTCATAAGCTTCTTTTTCTTTTGCTTGTTGATCTCGAATAAGTCCATTTAAAATTGATTGAGCAAAATGTATGTCTGTAAATGATTCACAATAAAAGATTTGTATAATAATATCTGTGTAATTTGAAGTTTAAGTCAGTTTAACCTCAAACTCTGCAGAGAACTAAACACTAATGAAATCGAAAATAACGTTACCATTTGCTACCCGCTTTTCATCTTCAGGTGACAGAAACGTCATATATAACATGCAAACTCAATCCTTGACTTTTATGAATAGTAATACTGTTACGTCCGGGATTTTTCGCGCGCTTGTAAATCGCGAATTTCCGAACGCGGCGTGCGGGATCGGATTTAGAGTGACGGTCGAGAAAGCCGTTTCTGGATATGAGTGGAGGGATTTGTGGGAAAAGGAAGGGAACGATCAGAGCGCGAGAGCGATAGTGGTCCGAGCGGAAGCACCGATCGTCTCTCGCCTCGGTGTATATCCTTCATCGGGCTGATTTGCCGTATGTAAAGATGAGCATTGTTAGCACGTTAGCCTCGTATAGAACAAAATGCGTAATTTATTTATCGATGGTTCCCTTAGAGGAGGGAGGAGAACGAAAAATCGACTTATATATATATATATATATATATATATGAAAACTGTTTTTAATTATTTACAACAAGGAGTAATAAGAAAAACAAGAATGAAATACATATTAACGAGGCTGCTAGAAGAGCTGAGAGCGAGGTAACCCTCGTGATGGCATAACACAAAACAAAAATTATGCGCGGTAATATAATTAATAATCATAACGATAATCTAGGCGGCGTCGCCTCTATATACACGTACATATATATATGCATGTCTATATATATATATATTAATTATTTTTACATAGTCAATGATTGCCCGGAACGGCGAATAAGGCCCTCAGATGACGCTGAACTTCATCATTTCAGGAAATTTTTTAGGAGAGGGAGAGAGAATAAAGAGGGAAAGGAGGATGATCCGTCTACCACCACGGAACGGTGGTCGTCCGTGCGATGGCGGGTAGAAACGCGTCGCCACTCGAGACCAAAATCTTGAGGAACCTCCGGTTCCTTGGCACCGCGGCAATGCTACGGACGCGCGGCTTCCCTACAACAGGCGGCGCGGGTGGAGGGGCAACCCTGTACGTCGAGGCCGGGGCCTGGCGTGACACCGGCAGCGGCCGGGTGGGCTTCCTGGCAGGCGCGTAGCTAGCGGCGTCCGGAGGCGCCGGGCGAGTCGCGATCGCGGCAGGAGCCGGTGCGAGAGGCCTCGGAGGCCTCGGAGCAGAGCCGACGATCGGCTCGGAGGATCTGGAGGGAGCGTCTCCTGAAGGAAGACCCCGGACGGGTCGAACTCCCCGCGTTGGGTGAGCTCCCACCAGAGTCTCTTTTGCTGGGTGTTTCTCCCTGCTCTATGCCCTCGTCGGGTGCGACGCATAACCTGTCGGATGCGAAAATAACATTATCGTCCTAAGAAAAAGGCGGAGAGTTAGAACTAAAATCGGACGGGATCACGACTCCAGAATCGGTGGATACTTGTATCGCGGCGACCAGTGAGCAGCATAAAAAAAAAGGGGGCACGGAATCGAGCTACTGAATGTGGCAGCGCTCAAACTCCGCTTGCTTGCAAATCGTTGAGGGGGAAGAAATGCTACTCACTGGGGGAGCAACTTACCATTCCCGTAATGTAATTTAAAAGAAAGAGACGAAAGGCAATTATTTGCGCGGTGGGCACGATCTCAGTGCGATGATCCACGCGATGTCGTCGCCGGGCGGAATCTAGGCTAACGATCCGCGAGGGACGCGAATTATAATCTATGATTCGCGGATACTTCGATCGCGGCGACCAGTGAGCAGCATAAAAAAAAAAGGGGGGCACGGAATCGAGCTACTGAATGTGGCAGCGCTCAAACTCCGTTTGCTAGCAAATCGTTGAGGGGAAAAAATGCTACTCACTGGGGGAGGCCTGCTATCCCTGTAATGGAATTTAAATTTAAGAAGCTAGAACTAGGCGGTTCTCACGTCGCGAGGAATGTTGGTAACGCGAAAGTCACGCGAGTGCTGTTGTTGAGCGGAATCTCGGCCGATGAATACGCAAAGAATGTGAATTGTCGTTGACGATCCGGCGAGTACTTGATCGCGACGATCAGTGAGCAGCATAAAAAAAAAAGAGGGGACGGAATCGAGCTACTGAATGTGGCAGCGCTCAAACTCCGCTTGCTTTCAAATCGTTGAGGGGAAGAAATGCTACTCACTGGGGGACGAAAGAAACTAACTGGACGGCACAACACACAAAAAAAAAACGATGGTCCATCATTGTTCACTTTATATGAATATATAGGTATTTATTAACGCAGAAAATGAACAGTTGAAAAATAACGAGAGAAAGAGACCCGCGAGTACGTGAATTAATTATCCAGCGAAAAGAAAAGAAAGAACAAAACTCAGAAATATGAAAATAAATAATAAAGGCTTGATACCGGTTCGAATAAACTTTTAGTTTACGCACTACGCATAATACGACCGCGGAACACTGAGTTGAATTATTGTCGAACACGGCGGAGAGCGTATTACTACGGTTATATCATTAATTAATACACTTACGCTCGCGTTATTATTATCCCGGCTCTTAACAATGTTTCGAGAATGTCTCGCGATCGGTTTTACGCCGTCAAGATATATGGATTTGTCGCACAATGAATTACTATCTTACTCGCGGAGAACCTTATGATACTATCAGAAATAGAACAATAATGAACGAGAGCGCTCTGTTTCGCTCGATTATATAGGGCCAGCTTGGTGGCCGCGGCGTGTGGAAATGCCGAATTTCCAGGAAAAAAGGGCAATAAATCACTTTTGCGAATAATTAATATCTCGGTACTTGATGAGTGCATTGCTCTGATACTTGGTATCATTT